TGTCTTTTTGAGACAGGGTCTCCCTGTAGCCCCAGCTGTCCTGGAACTCACTATGAAGACCAGGCTGGCCTTGAACTCAGAGATCTGCCTGCCTCTGCCTCCTGAGTGCTGGGATTAAAGGCGTGTACCACCACGTCCGGCCATTTTTATTTATTTTTTAATATTTTATTATTTTCTGCATGAGTGCACTGAGTCATGCAATACCCACAGAGGTCAGAAGAGGGCGTTGGATTTCTCTAGAACTGGAGTTATGAACCGTTATTAGCCACTCTGTGGGTGCTTGGAATCAAACCTGGGTCCTCTGCAAGAGAGGCCAGTGCTCTTAACCACTGAGTCATCTCTTCAGCCCCACATTTTTATTTTTAGAATATCTCATTCAAAAGCTGTGGCTGTAGCTCAATGGTAGAGTGTCTGCTTTGTATGCACAAGGCTCTAGGTTCAATCCCTAGTTCTACCCCCCCAAATTTTATTCATTATTTTACCTGACCACCCTGAACCAGAACACCTCAGCAGAACTATTGCTTCTTCCCAGTACTGCAAGGAAAACGAGAGTGGACAATCCCTGCCAGTAGTCAAGATGAGTGTCCTACCTGTCCCCTAGGAGCACCTGTCCCCTAGGGCAGAGCTCCCAAATGCTCACCTCTGCTGGTTGTCCACAGTGAGGGGAGAACTGACCACCCCACACCACTAGAGGGCAGTGGGACTTTCTGGACATCAGTCTCCTGGGGAGGGGCTGCCTTGTCATGCTACCAAACAGACCAGCCTTTTGGCATTTAGTTCAGACTCAGGCCATGGCTTGGGGTGGGGTGGGGGCTACTTTGACCTGGTCTTTTACCCCAAGAGTGACACAGATCCCAGTGAAAGTCCATTCCTGATGGTCTCGTTGAGGCTCCAGCCTGCTCAGTGTGCCAGGCCATCCTCCTCCCAACCCAAGCATGTCTATGCTTTGGGATGCACAGAGATGCAATAACTGTCCTTACAATGTTGCTGGCACTCCAGGATGATGGCACTCCATCACCTTAGCTCCATGTATAGTATGTGTCTCATCTGGAGTGGTGGTAAGATTAATGTGTACCACCATGCCCTACTACGTACTGCTTTTTTTTTTTATGTCCATGGAGGTCAGAAGAAGGCATCAGATCTCCTGGAACTGCAGTTATGGATGGTTGTTAGCCACGATGTGGGTGTAGGAAACCAAACCCAAGGCCCCTGTAAGAGCATCCAGTGCTTTGAATGACTGAGCCAACTCTCTAATACCTGGCTTATTTTTTAAATATTTTATTTATTTTATTTTATGTGTATGAGTGTATTGCCTGCATGTAGGTAAGTGCATCCATGTCATGCAGTACCCACAGAGGCCAGAAGTGGCCGTTGGATCTCCTGGAACTGGAGTAACAGACAGTTGTTAGTTGCCATGTGGGTATTGGGATTTGAACCCAGGTCTTCTACAAGAACAACCAGTGCTCTTAACTGCTGAGCCATCTCTCCACCCCCAACTTTTAAAAAAATTATTAGTCATGTCATGCACACATGTGGAAGTAAAAGGACAACTTGCTAGAGTCAATTCTGTCCTTCCAACATGTGGGTTCCAGGGATTGAATTCATGTCATCAGGCTTGTGCAGCATGTACCTTTACCCACTGAGCCTCCTGGCTACCAAACCTGCCACCTCCTGAAAACCTGTTTGCTGAGGGTACACATCAGTTGTCACTTTCCAGAACATCTTGAGAAAGTGGGACATTCCCTGGTCCCTTGCTTTCTTTGGTCTCTGGAATTCAGCACAGTGGGCCTCATCCTGTGTACCTGTGCTCACTCTAAACTCATTAACATTTGGGGCTCTGGTCCTCTACTCCCTAAAAGCATGAATGGAAGGGAAGGTCACCTGGCCTCTGCCATCACAAATGTGACTGCTGGTCTTGAGCCTCCCCAGCATGGCACTGGAGGCTGGGCTGTCAGCCATGAACACAGGCAGAAGATGTGGTTCTGACAGCATCCTTGCCTACTGAGCCAGCCTCATAAGGAGGTGTCCTGCATGCAGGCACATTGGCCAATCAGGAGAGGTGGCAGCAGGGCCACCTAGGTCACTAGATGGTGCTCACTCTGCTGAAAAAGCTGGTGAGACTTCTTCCCTAACCAGTCACATGCAGGTGCTAAGGACTCAGCAGTCCAGCAGCTGCATGCTCCTCACCACCAAGCCTACACTGCGGTTCCTGGTTATGCAGCCACCCTACTATGTCAGAGATGGAACTGGAACCAGGTTGGAGCCTAAGTGACCCCTCTGAAGTATTGTCCCTGCCCTAGGACCCATTGGGCCCATGAAGAAGGTGCTAGTGGACAACCCCAAGAACAGGATGCTGCTCATTGAGAACCTTCGAGAATCTCAACCTTACCGATATACAGTGAAGGCTCGAAATGGGGCTGGCTGGGGGCCTGAGAGGGAAGCCATCATCAACCTGGCCACACAGCCCAAGCGGCCCATGTCCAGTGAGTGATGGGCAAGGGTAGACTGGGGGGACAAGAGGCCACAAGTGGGACCCTGGCTCAACTTTTCCCACTCTGTAGTCCCCATCATCCCAGACATCCCCATTGTGGACGCCCAGGGTGGAGAAGACTATGAAAGTTTCCTCATGTACAGTGATGATGTTCTGCGCTCCCCAGCCAGCAGCCAGAGGCCCAGCGTCTCTGATGACACTGGTGAGTGGGGTCCACCAAAAGAAGGTGGGGGTCGTGGGTGAGGCTGTCCCTGGTGTCCAGAGAGAGGAAAGATGCCAGCAACCGGTCTGCCTAGAGGCCAAGAATAAGTCTCTCAGCCTTGGACAAATGTCCAGACCCCATGGTTTGGCACAAAGGGGCAGAATTGCTGTGGGCCACATGTCAGCATGTGCACACCTGTGTGGGAGGGTGTATGCCTCAGCGACAGATGCTCCCAGCTCCAAAACTGGCACAGATATTCACAGGTTCATACACATAGGACAATAGCTTTGCAACCTGAAGGTTCACCATCTATACTCTGGAGAGAGGGCACTCTGGCCACTTCCCAGGGGCAGGCCTATGTGAGGACAGGTGGTATGGCTTAAACAGCCTCGGAGGAAGGGGGCTGAGGCAATAATGCACCCATTGGCTCTATTCTCCTTGATTTCTCACACAATCTGGTACAAGAAGAACCTTTAGCAAAGTCTTTGCTCTGGCTCCACTGTGGCTCCTTGGAGGAATCAGCCTCCCTGAACTGGTTTTCTACTATGTAAAATGAGATGCCAATCACAGTGTGCTGCACCAACAGGAAATCCTACAGAACACAAGTTCTTCCCTCTCTGTGCCTAAGGCCAGGATGAACACACACTGCCCCCAGTGAGCAGACCTTGGTTTGCTAAACTGCACCCCCACCCCCGGCAGGGGTTGGGATTTGACACAGGGTCCTGCTAGGTAATTAATTACCTAACTGACCATGAAGTTGCTATACCTAGACAAGGCTGCCTTCAAACTGGCAACCACCTTCTTGTCTCTGCTTCCCCAGTGCTGGGAGCTAAACTGCAGTTGAGCATTTTTTTGCTTGTTTGTTTGTCTTTTTGAGACAGGGTCTCCCTGTCGCCCCAGCTGGCCTGGAACTCACTATGTAGACCAGGCTGGCTCAAACTCAGAGGTCGTCTGCCTCTGCCTCCCAAGGGCTGGGATTAAAGGCGTGGACCATCACGCCCGGCTTGAAGCAGTTTTAAGAACCAGGAATCCCTGTTCAATTGCTACTTAGTGCCTGGGGCTTCCAGAACAGTTCTGACAGACAGGCAGGGGCGCGAATACTTTCCATTGTACAGATGGGGAACAGGCTCAAAGCGGTTAAGTAACCAAGGAAACTTCACAGCGGGTGGCAGCACCCAGAGTCCCCCAAGTCTCTGGGTGCTGCAGGGTTTTTGCTCCGGCGCTGCAGCCAGAACTGCGCTGAGGGCTTCTCCTGGCTCCGCCCGCTTCCTCCACCCCGCCCTCCCGGGCGCCGCCCCGCCGCCCCGCATCCCGGCGGTGCCAACGCGGCCCTTCGTTGTTCCCAAGGCGGCACCTGGAAGTTCGAACCCCTGCTGGGGGAGGAGCTGGACCTGCGGCGCGTCACGTGGCGGCTGCCCCCGGAGCTCATCCAGCGCCTGTCGGCCAGCAGCGGGCGCTCCTCCGACGACGGCGGAGCCGGGGGCTCGGACGGGGAGGGTGGTGGCAGGACCCGCGGCGCCACACCCCGGCCCCCGGGAGGTGACCGCCCCTGGGAGGCTCTGGAGCCAGCCGAGGGCCTGGACCCGCACATGCATTGCCTCGGGTCCCCAGCTTCTACCAAGCTGCCCACTGGACTGCCCTTCCTGGCCAGGGTCTGAAACTGCAGGCAGACGAGGGTCCAGAACCACAGGGCACTAGGGGGAGGTGCCTGGGCTCTCCCCCGGGGAGGATAAGGGCAGTGACCTCTGTGACACTCCTGACTCCACCAGTGGTACACAACTTTAGAAGACTGTCGTGTCCAGGGCCTTCCATGAAAGCCTTCGGCTCTCTCCAGGGTCAAGCCGACTGCAGGGGAGTGAGCTGAAGCTGGCTCCGTTCTCTGGGAGCAAGAGGCTGGGAGGGCCTGCGTGATACCTGGATGTCTCTGGGAGAGACTGGCTATCACTCTTAAGGCTCCTGAGAGCAGGGCATCCCCAGACCCGCAACTGCCCCATTCGGCTTGCTATTTGCTGTAGGCCTGACTGTTGACCTTTCCCCATGCAGAGCACTTGGTGAACGGCCGGATGGACTTCGCCTATCCAGGCAGCGCCAACTCCCTGCACAGGATGACTGCCGCCACTGCTGCCTATGGCACCCATCTGAGCCCACAACTGTCCCACCGAGTGCTCAGCTCATCCTCCACCCTCACACGGGACTACCACTCTCTGACCCGCACAGACCACTCAGCCGCACTGACCCGGGACTACTCCACCCTCACTTCACTTTCTTCCCAGGGTGAGTGACCCACCAACCGTGCCTCACCCTCTGACCTTCCTTCCAGCTCCTGGAGACACAGGCTTGGGGCCTGCTGTTCCCTCCCCCCATGCACACTTCCCTATACACCCACATATTCCCTTCCTGCCCCTCTCACTCTTGTTTTGTCCTGACTTAGGCCTCCCTCCCATCTGGGAAGACGGGAGGCAGCTTCCAGGGAGGAGCAGGCTTCCACTGTCCTGGGCCCTGGGGTCCTGGAGCCGAGCTCAGATGATGGGGCTCCCTGCTTCCAGGGGCTCACCAGACTCTATAATCCTGGCTGGGCAGCCAGCAGCACCCTCCTGGGGTCCAGGTAGTACATGGGTGGTCATCATGTCTCCATGGCTGTCCTGCTCCATCTGCCTGCCATCTAGCCACCATCACAGCCTGTGTCCATGCACTGCCTTAGCCTCATCACATTCACAGGACCCCTGCCCACCTACAGGAGCTAACCACTTCCCTACCCTCATCAGTGCTGAAGCCTAACACAGCCTCTGCCCTTCTAGGGTGTAGAGCTGGGCCAGGCCAGCTGCAGAGGGAGTGGATTGTTGAGGGGGGCAGATTCACAGGGTTCCAAGCCCATGTGGAACCCCTGGGCAGCATGAAGAAGGTTGTTGTAGGGTTGACTGGCCAGAGAGGCAAGTCAACTGTACAGGGAGTAGACTGACTTATCTGAGACCCTCCCCAAACCCTGTATCTTGGATTGACTGTAGCCTTCTGTATCCAGACTCCCGTGGGGCTGTGGGTGTGCCAGACACACCCACCCGGCTGGTGTTTTCCGCCCTGGGGCCTACATCTCTGAAAGTGAGCTGGCAGGAACCACAGTGTGATCGTGTGCTACTGGGCTACAGTGTGGAGTACCAGCTGCTAAATGGCGGTGAGGCACAGTGACTGTCAGCTGTTTAACTCTTCCAAGCCTAGCCCTATCTGATGGACAAGAGCAGCCCAGCTGGGACAGGAGTCCAACCCAAGTCCACTGAGCATAAATATCACACCCAGCCTTTGTAAAAGGGTCTCTGACTCCTTGTCCCACACTCACCTTCGTTACCATTACCTTCTTCTGAGGTTTCATCCATCTCCCTGGGCCTCTACTAGGCATTTGCTAAACTAGGTTTTGCTTAACAAGACTTCATAGTTCCAGAGCCTCCACTGGTTTAAAGGCCTTTTGAGAACTGGGAAATGCAATATCCCTGGGCAAGCCAAGGGTGGTGGTGCACGCCTTTAATTCCAGCACTCAGCACTGGGAGACAGAGGCAGGCCCATCTCTCTGAGTTCAAGGCCAGCCTGGTCTACATAGCGAGTTACAGGCCAGCTGGAGACCCTGTCTCAGACAAAAAAAAGAAATATTCCTGGTCAGGCACACTCAACACATAATGACCTAGCCCCCTCACCAGGATTTGATCAGAAGATGAGTTGAACAGCAGGGTCCACCATCTCTCTGGCTCTTTTTGGTGCTGGGGCTCAAACCCTGAGCTGCTTACGTCCTAGCAAAAGCACTACCGCTGAGCTACATCCTCAGCCCTCCATTCATGTATTACATCATGAACAACCAACCATATTATACTGCACCCAAACCATAGGCAGACCTGGATGAATGACCAGGTGGTGTTGGCAGTCTAGGGAAAGGACGGAGTAAAGCTGGTCTCTTATCTACCTCACTCCATCTCCCAGGTGAGTTGCATCGGCTCAACATCTCCAACCCTGGCCAAACCTCAGTGGTGGTGGAAGACCTCTTGCCTAACCACTCCTATGTGTTCCGAGTGCGAGGCCAGAGCCAGGAGGGCTGGGGCCGAGAGCGAGAGGGTGTCATCACCATTGAATCACAAGTGCATCCACAAAGCCCTCTCTGCCCGCTGCCAGGTGAGCTGCCTCCCCAACAGCTGCTGCCATCTAGCCCACCACCCACCCACTTACATTCTTCTCTGCTGTCTCTAGGCTCTGCCTTCACTTTGAGCACCCCCAGTGCCCCAGGTCCACTGGTATTTACGGCCCTAAGCCCTGACTCGCTGCAGCTGAGCTGGGAGCGGCCACGGAGGCCTAATGGAGACATCCTCGGCTACCTGGTGACCTGTGAGATGGCCCAAGGAGGAGGTGCCACCTGCCCTTGGGGGCAGGGTGGGCGTGCAGGGGTGGGAAAGCACCACAGAAGCTGAAAGTATTTTACCTGTGCAGGACCTGCTACCACATTCCGGGTAGACGGAGACAACCTTGAGAGCCGACTGACAGTACCTGGCCTTAGTGAGAATGTGCCCTACAAGTTCAAGGTACAGGCCAGGACAACTGAGGGCTTCGGGCCAGAGCGTGAGGGCATCATCACCATCGAGTCCCAAGATGGAGGTAGGGTGGCCCTCCTTCCTCACCTCACCTTGCTCTAGCCTACTTTTACATGGCACCACCCAATCTGACTGGTCTGCCTGTTCTAGGTCCCTTCCCCCAGCTGGGCAGTCACTCCGGGCTCTTCCAGAATCCACTGCAAGGCGAATACAGCAGCATCACCACTACCCATACCAGCTCCACTGAGCCCTTCCTCATGGGTGAGTCACCAGGGACAGGGGACCCTGGCTTCTGGGAACAGAGTCAGCACAGAGGACCCTTCCAACTTCTTCCCCGGTAGACGGATTAACCCTGGGGTCCCAGCGCCTGGAGGCAGGAGGCTCCCTCACCCGGCATGTGACACAAGAGTTTGTAAGCCGGACGCTGACCACCAGTGGAACCCTCAACACCCAGGTGGACCAACAGTTCTTCCATACCTGAACTCTCCAACCTCCTGTGGGTCCTGAAACCTGGGTCCCCCCTGCCTTCTCTCCCTAGTGCTTCCTTCCTTGGCTGCTCCATCCTTGGACCTCCAAGGGCCAGCCACTTGCATGCTGACTAAAGAGCCAGCATCTCTAGCCATAGAGGGGGGGGTAGGTGTCCTCTGGGAAGCATAAAGCAGGGGGAGATCCCAGAGGGCCTTTGTGGCTGCCCCCTAACCTGGTCCAAAATCAGCCCAAGAACCCAGCCTTTGTTCTGCACTTAATAAAAGACTTTGCTATTGCTTAGCTGTCTTGTCCATTCTTCACGGGCCTGAGACGTGCCAGCCTGCGGTAGAGCTGAGATTCTCATAGTACCCCTCCTCTGACACCAGAGCACATACCCACCTCTAGAGGCAGGTGGCCACCACAGTAAGACGCACAACTTTATTCAGCACCCAGATGCAGAAGGTGGATGCCCAAGGCAGAGCTGCAGGACCCACTGCCTCTGCCCTGTTACTGTGTGTCCATCTGTCCCAGGGGCGCATCTCACAGGCTCAGCACCTTGGCTCCGTCGGCGGCTTGAGAGAGGTAGAAGGTGGCTGTGCCGCTGTATTGCTCCTGGGGGAGAAGCTAGGCTGAGCAACAGATGTCCCAGGTACCCACCTCTCCTGCCCTCCCAGACTCGGGAGCGCTCACCCACCTGTATGTGCTGCATGGCGCAGGAAGCAGCAGAGGCCTCCAGCAGTGTGACTGTGCAGCCTCCAAAGCCACCACCCGTCATGCGACTGCCATAGACTCCAGGCACAGAGAGCGCAGCCTCCACTAGTTGGTCTAACTCTGGGCAGCTCACCTCATAGTCATCCCTGCAGAGGATAGAGAAGTGAGAAGAATACAGACCTGTGACCCACCTGTGCCCAGGAAGCATAACACCCAAAAGATCTCACCTGAGGGAGTTGTGACTTTCCACCATGAGGCGGCCAAATGCCCGATAGTCCCCACGGCTCAGAGCAGTTGCTGCCTGGGCTGTACGCTGGATCTCACCTACCACATGCCGTGCCCTCCGGAAGCCCTCCTTGCTCACCAGCTCTCTGCCCGCTAAGGAAGAACAGGGCTCAGCAGCTCCACCTCATACCACCCATGGCCTCGGAGTGTGGGACAGGGGCCGGGTGGGCAAGTTAGTGGACAGCTGCTTCCCATCTTGGAACTCTCTCATTTTAAAATGGGACATCTGCATCTCACCATCACTCAGGGTCCAGGGAGGAGACAATATGCAGGACTCATACAGTACAGAGAATGCTCAGTACACATCTATTTGAGCCCCTGAACTTTTCTTTTCTTTTCTGGTCTTTTTAAGACAGGGTCTCCCTATAGCCCCAGACGGCCTGGAACTCACTATGTAGACCAGGCTGGCCTCAATCTCACAGAGATTTGCCTGTCTCTGCCTCTAAAATGCTGGGATTAAAGATGTGTGCCATGCCAGGTAAACTGCTGACTTTTAGATAAGCTTGCAAGGTAAGTGGTACAAAGTGCAGGCCTTACATCCCTTGTAGAGCACTTGCCTAGCACATGCAAGGCCCTAGGTTCCAGCCCCAGGCCTATGAGGAGCCCCAGGTTTGCTGTGTTTTGGAGGGAGTAAGCAGACCTGGAAATAAGGGAATGGACAGCTGGATCAAGGCCACACGGACACCCAGCAGGCTCTGGGCTCTGGTCACCTCCAGGACAGAATATGCCAGGCTGGCTCTCACCTTCAAGCTCCTCTAGCCGCACTTCTCGAAGGCTCTCCTTGCCTAGAGCCCGTGCCACTTCTTCACACTGACGTCTCCGCACAGGGTACTCACTGGATCCCAGAGAATGGCGGACATTGGAGTTAGTGATGAGCACAGCTAGCTTAGGATCTGACAATGGCACCAGGCTTGTTTCCAGGGACCTGGGGTAGAGTTAGAATGGGGGAGGTGTCACAACCAAGGGCCTGCTTGCCAAGCCAGGCAGTGGGCACATTCCATTCAAGAGCTCCTGCTTACGAGGTTGGGGTGATAGGAGGGGAGCCCCTGACCTGCAGTCAATGAGCAGCGCATGGCCTTTCTGCCCCAGCAGTGCGATGAGCTGGTCCATAATGCCACAGGGCACCCCTGCGAAGCTGTGCTCGGCCCGCTGACACACCTGGGCCCGGGCAGCTACTGCCCCCGAGTCTGTAGTATAGGGTGAAGTGGGGAAGCTGGAGCCCAGGAGAGGGCACAAGGAGTGGCCACATTGGAACAGCAGGGCTCCATTGACAATCCGAGGGACTCCCCCTCCTCCCTCCCTAAGCCCATAGGGAAAGAGGCTCTGACCACAGAGGCTTCAGAAGAAGAAAGCAGGGCCTAGGTGATACCTGGGCAGAGCTGCTGGAGGAAGGTGTACGTGGCCACTTCCAGAGATGCTGAGCTGGAGAGCCCACCCCCCAGGGGTACTGAGCTGACCACCACTGCACTGAAGCCAGGGAGGGGAGCAGCTGCAGGGGAAAGAATGATGCTGATAAGATGGACTGCTAGGAGGGTGTATGTGTCCTAGCAGGAAGGGAGGCATGTATCTCAACTGTCAGATGCCATCAGCCTGCTGGGGCCAAGGAGTACATCACCCTCCATGAGTTTTCTGGGGTAATCTACTGATGCAGGTTTCCAGAAGCCAGCAAGGGAGGGTTTGGATTCTGGCTCCTCCAAACATACAAAGGGAATGGAAACCCAGGGTACGTTCCAGAGCCTCCTGGGCCTGTACAGTGGGATCCTCTAACCTGGTCAAAATGGGCTTTGTGGCTGTGAGATGGTATTCCCAGTAGCAGCATGGGTCCCATACCTGGGTAATGCTGAATCACTCCCTTGACATAGTTGGCCCATTGGGGAGTCCCAGGTTCCAAGGTCCGCTGGGCTGTAGGTAGTGGGAACTGCAGTCTCTGGGGCTCATCGGCATCTTTAGAGGTTGTGAGAAGAGAAACAAGTCCATCTGTTCGAGGGCTGCCAACCATCAGGGTCACAAGCTCCAGAGCCTGGAAGGAAAGAGTATGTATAGTTTATACCAGCTGACAGAGGCGGCCCCTAGGGGCTGCCTTATAGCCAGCCACAGAGCCCATTTATCCATCAAATACATTGTGGGGAAGGCTTGCAGGGTGGAACACCCTTTTGTAGACAGGAAACTGATGTCCTAAGAGGTTCCAGAATTTGCTTGGGTCTCCCCAGAGTGATTGGAGAAGCCAGAATTCAAATCCCAAAGCACTGTTGCCTGGGACAGACAGGGACATGGAGGGCTCAGAAGGAAAGGAATAATAAGGTGTGGCCCAAACAGGAGCCTGAAAGTGGAGCTAGCCTAGGGGGCTTGGAGCTCTGCCTACTGGGTCTTCATGGGTGGGTGGGGTTAGCTGCAGCCAGAGTGCAAACCTGGACTTTGCCCTGAGCAAGGACTCGCAGCGGTGGGGCAAAGGTGAGAGAGCTGTCTCAAGGGAAAACAGAACCTGAGAGCACCAGGTCGTCCCATCTGGGGACAGGCTCAGAAGCCCTGTAACTCTTCATTCATTCCCAAGATGCGCAATTGGTATCTGGTCACATATTAAGAACTAGCTGGTACTTTGCGCAGGTCCCTAGCTCTCTCCGGGTTTGTTTCTTCTATAAATTCAAAGGGCTGGGATGGGAGGCCAAGGACTAACTACATTTACATTTACAAACAAGTCTTCAGCACCTGTGGTTGCTGCCCAACTTGGGGCAGGGGCCCAAACAGTATTGTTTTTTTTTTTTTTTTTCTTGTTTTGACTCATGGTCTCGCTCTGTAGCCCAGGCTGTCCTAGAATTCATTATTGTAAACAAGGCTGCCCTCGAGTTCTAGGCAATTCTACTGCCTCAGCTTCCTGGGTACTGGGATTGTGAGGAGAAAGCCGCCAAGCCTCGATTGCTACCCTGATTTCCACATTTTAAGAGGAACTTAATTCCAGGGTGAGGGCGATGACTAACAGCCCCAGAGGGCGGGCTTCAGTTCCTGTCTTCGCACGTGGGCAACTACGTCTCAGGGTCCCTCCGGCGGGCTCGCCCCCCAGCCCTGCTGCCACCCGGCACTCCAGACACACTCCGGTCGTAGGGCCCCCGCCGTCCGCGCCCCGCCCGCCCTTCTCCGCAGCCCGCCCGACCAGTGGCGCACCAGGCTCGCCGGCGCGGCCCCTCACCATGGGCAACACCAGGCCCTGGTTGTAGTCCGTGTGCTCCCCGATGAGGTTGACGCGGCCCGGCGCCGACACGGCCAGCTCGGGCTCGGCCCCGAACTCCTCCCGGAAGGCCCGCCGGGCCTCGGCCAGCAGCTCCTCCACCAGGGGCGGTCTCCAAGCAGCCATGACGCTCCTCTGCAGCGGGGCGCACCACCCCTCGGGATGCTGGGGGCGGAGCCACGGAGCCGCTGGCCCACGTCCCTGCCCGACGCCCCGCCCGCGCCCGGCGGGCCCCGCCCCTCCCTCCGAGGCGTACCTCTACGGGGGGCTCTGGGGACTCTGGGCAGGCGTGGTGGGCAGCGGACTGCAGGGACCCGGGAGAAATTTGTGCCCTCGATGATGGCCTTCTCTCCGGACTTTGGAGCACACACTTGAGTGACACCTGACACGCCTGGGAGATCTGAACTGCCCATCCTCTGACCCTGGTGCCTCTTGATGCACCCCATCCTGACACCTGAGAGATCTGGGCTTCCCAAGAGGCTCTACATCCTAGATCCTTGTGAGAACAGACCCCTGATCACAGGTCTCTATAAGACTGTCTTGTACAAACAAGGACAGCCAAGCGGGATAATGACCAAGTAGTCACTTTTTTTTAATTAAAAAAAATTTATTTTATGTGTATGCATGTATTGCCTGCATGTAGAGGTAAGTGCACCCGTGTCGTGCAATGCCCGCAGAAATCAGAAGAGGCTGTCGGATCCCCTGGGACTGGTCTTCTGCAAGAACAACCAGTGTTCTTAACCGCTGAGCCATCTCCCCAGCCCCTTTTTTCTTTAGACAGGCTCTCACTATGTAGCCCTGGCAAGCCTGGGACTCACTATGTAGACCAGACTGGCCTGCAACACAGAGATCCGCCTGCCTCTGCCTCCCAAGTGCTGGGATTACAGGTGTGTGCCACCAAACCCAGCTAACTGCCCTATTTTTAAAAAATATTTTTATTTATTATTTTATGTGTATGGAGTGTATTGCCTCCATGTATGTGAGTGTACCTGTGTCATGCAATGCCCCAGAGATCAGAAGAGGGCTTCAGATTCCCCTGGAACTGGAGTTAAGGACGGTTCATAGTCACCATGTGGGTACTGGGAATCGAACCCAGGTCCTCTGCAAGAGCAGTCAGTCCTCTTAACCTCTTAACTGCTGAGCCATCTCTCCAGCCCACTGCCCTATTATTTTAACATGGGGCTGGAGGTTGATCCCAGGGCCTTCATTATGCCAAGCATAGGCTTTACCAATGTGCACCCCACAGCCCCTGAGCTGCATCTTAAAATTATTTTTGAGACAAGGTCTCTTTATGTAGCCCAAGCTGGCCTTGAATACAGTTCCCCAATCTGTGGACAAACTCCTGTGCTGTCCCCAAGCTATATTCCTGGTCACATTTCTCCATAAGGCTCCCACTGTCATCCCAAACAGGCTGCTTACGTTTTAGTCTTTTCTGTTCCAGGGTTTCAGAGTGAGCAGGTGTGGACAGACATCTGGGCAAAGATTTGGCCCAGCTCAAGGTTTAGAATGAAGGCTGGCAAGAGGGAAACATTTGGCTCTGGGCAGGTGGCCATGCCTCTGAGACCAAGGTTCCTTGGTGAGGGAGCACCTGCTGGGGTCAACAGCACAGCCCAACTTTGCAGGAGCCTTTGGGCCTTTGAGGAGGGGTCTGGGCCTGCTTTGGGTCACTGTCATCCTTGAGTCCCCCACTGCTAGAAGGTGGCAGATAGTAGGTCCACTCCAGAAAAGGTGCCTATAAAAGTGACTCTTTTGGGGGCTAGAGATGGCTCAGTGGTTAACACGGTCATTCTTGCAGAAGACCCAGGTACAAATCCCAGCTAACATGGCTAACAACTGTCTGTAACTCCAGTCCCAGGGGATTCGACAGCCTCTTCTGACCTCTGCGGGCATTGCACGACACAGCTCACTTATCTACATGCAGGCATTACACGCATACACATTAAATAAAAATTTTTTAAAAATTAAAAAAAAAACCATGAGCCAGGCATGATGGCATAAGCCACATTATTATACCCACAAGAGGTATAATCCTAGCCCTTGTGCAGCCCTTGGGCAAGAAAAGAATTTCAAGGACATCCTCAGCTACGTAGTGAATCAGAGGGTAGCCTGTGCTATAGCAGCTCTGTCACAAGACAGCACTTGGGAGGCAGAGGCAGGCGGATCACTCAAGCCTGGTCTACATAATGAGTTCCAGGCCAGCTGGGGCTACAGGGAGACCCTGTCTCAAAAAAGACAAAAACAAACAAAAGAACACCAACCAATATCAGTAACAAAAAACCAATTCCAAATTTCCAAATTTTGATAGTCTCCTTTTTTGAGTTCATTTCAATAACCGAGAGTTGATTTTTTTTTTTTTCCCCAGAGCCAAAACACACAAAACAAACCATGAATGGCCTTTGGGGCTGGTTGAAATTAAAGTCACAAACCACTCTCCCCACAAGGCAGAGTTGAACAAAACAGTCCCTTCTCTTCCTATCAGTTCAGCTTTGAAATCTACACACTCCTGAGCCTCAGTTTCTCATCTGTAAAATAGGGCTGGTGATTCCTCCCGGACAAGGTATTAAAAAATGAAGATAATCTTTATAAAGTGCCCTGTGAGGCTGGAGAGGTGGCTTAGTGGTTAAGAGCATCAGCTGCTCTTACAGAGGACCCGGGTTCAAGTGCCAGCACCCACATGGCAGCTAACAACCGTCCATAACTCCAGTTCCAGGAGAATGTAACACCTTCTTCTGACCTGGGGCACTGCACAAGGGTGCACTTACACACATGCAGGCAATACACTCATACACTAAAATAAAAAGTGCCCTGCCCAGCACTTAATCACTTAGTAGTACAGAATAAATATTTGCTACTATTATCAGGTTTCCATTAATTCAACAGCATTATTGGACTCTCCTTTGTGCAATTGGCCAGAAAGATAAAATGCCTCCCTTTCTACTACCTGGTTGGGAGGCAGACAGTTTAAAAAATCTGGCCTCCTCTGATTGAGATAAACGCTATGCTTAGACTTAGTAGTTTTGTTTTTTTTTTTAAGTTTATTTTCTGGTTTTTGTTTCCTTGTCTGTTTCTGAGACAGGGTCTCACTATGTAGCCTGACTTGTCTTAACTCCAATATATAGACCATGGTGCCCTCCAGCTCTCAAAAATCCTGTCTCTACCTCCTGAGTGCTGAGATTAAAGGTGTGCGGCACCACACACAGCCTCCTGTATTTTAGAGCTGGGGATGGAAATCATGTTCTCGGCATACTAGACAAGCGCTCTACCCCACTGAGCTGCAACCACAGCCCTACTATTTTTTATTTATTTTTTTGAGACAAGGTCTCTCTGCTACAGCTGACCTGGGACTTGCTATGTAGACCAGGCTGGCCTTGACCTCTCAGAGATCTGCCTATAGAGCACTGTAGTGCTGGGACTAAAGGTGTGTGCTACCATGCCTGGCCCTACTCTTTTTAAAGATTCTTTTTTTTTTTTTGGTCTTTCACCTTTTGAGACAGGGTCTCCCTGTAGCCCCAGGTGGCCTAGAACTCACTATATAGACCAGGCTGGCCTTGAACTCACAGAGATCCACCT